GGTAGAGCGCTAGCCTTGAGCTGAAGAGCTGAGGGACAGTGCCCAGGCCCAGAGTTCAGGCCCCACGACCGGACTCCCAAAAAAATATATTTGCTAACTGGATACTTTGGTTCTCCTTCCACATGTTTGCATATACACACACATATGTGTTTATATTTATGCTTATATATGCATATATATATATATATATATATATTCTTAATGCTCCCTGACCCTTCTGGTTACTCCTATAGGTACATATGTGAATAGAAACTGTATAAAAGCAAAAAGACTTCTTGAGAGACAGTGTATTAACTGTAATGAAGACCAACCACTACATGTTATTTTGGCAAGACAATGCATTCTAAAGTGCCCTTGTCATTTATTACAGGCTTATTTCTAACCTCACACACATTATATAGAAAGTATATGTATTTTTGGGCTGGGAAGATGGCTCAGTGGTAGAGCGCTTGCCTTGCATGCATGAAGCCCTGGGTTCGATTCCTCAGCACCACATAAGCAAAAAGAAAAAAGCCGGAAATGGCACTGTGGCTCAAGTGATAGAGCACCACTTGAGCTGAAGAGCTGAGGGACAGCGCCCAGGCCCAGAGTTCAGGCCCCATGACCGGACCCAAAAAATGTATTTTTATATCCAACCCACAGACAATAAGTAGCATTTTTAATCTCAAATCTATTATAATCAAAATTAAACTGCTTCTGGAAAGAACTAAGACTAAAAAGAGAAAACCATTTAGTAATATGAGAGCCCTACCTGTTAAGTGTTATAAAATATGATCAAAATGCATGAATTTTTAGATATCACAGCATCCATATTTTTCCCCAGCATGTATGGATTAAATCAGAATATAATTCTAATTTAGCGCACAGAAATGTAATATATGAAGCCAGGTGCTGGTGTCTCACACATGTAATCATAGTACTCAAGAGGCTGAGATCTGAGGATTGCAGTTCAAAGCCAGCCCAGGCAAGAAAGTCTATGAGACAATTAACCACCCCAAAGTGGAGTGTGGCTCAAAGTGGTAGAGCACTAGCATGGGGCATAAAGAGCTCAGGAAGCACCTAGGCCCTGAGTTCAAGCCCCATGACCGAAGGGGGAAAAAAGAGAGAATCCAGAGCTGGATACCAGTGGCTCCTGCTTGTAATCCTAGCTACTCGGAAGGCTGAAATCTGAGAATCACTGTTCAAAGTCATCCTGGGCTGTAAAGTCTTTGAGATGGTACGTTCAAATAACCACCAAAAAGCTAGGAGAGCTCCAGCTCAACTGATACAGCACTAGCCTTGAGCAAAAAAGCTATGGGACAGCGCATATATACATATATATATATATATATATATATATATATATACATATATATATATATACACACACATATTTGTACCCAACAAATACATCTTTGTTCCCCGCATAAGTTCCAATTTTTTTCATACCAATTCTTCTTAGAATTAAGGAGTCTAAGACCAGAGTAAGTGGAAAGAAAGGATTCAAAAGAAATGTTTTATCCAGGACCCCAAAGAAGGGTGTGTTATCTATCACTAAGTCTTACAGTATTGTTTCCGGATCAGCTGCATTATTGCACCTAACTGCATTGGTAAATCCCAAATATACATGGATCATCTTTAATCACCTTAGTCACCTGGCCCTTGCTTAGTAAAATGGCACTGGCTATTCCAATATCAAGCCAAGTTTTACTTAGTCAAAACCATGACATTTGCACTGATTAGTGCCTGTACATCTTTAAGTGTCCAAGCTTAATGGTGAAGCCATTACTCTATCTCATGTTCCCAGTTAGAGTGGAGAAGTTTCTGCCTCTACTGCTATTGTTAGCATTAATGTGGTAGGTAAGGTGAAGACTGCAATCCTGGCTCCATAATTTACTGACTCTGTAATGAGTGACTAAATTCACTGTACTAACTTTTCTTTCTTCTGTAAAAGGGGAAAAATAACAATCTACAGTACAGAACTGCACTGCTATGAGGATCAAAGGAGAAATATACCAAAGCTATCAGAGTATTTGCTAGTGCATTCGAAGTGCTCAACAAATAGTAGCTTCATTATTCTTACAGCACTGAACTAAAGCTTCACAATCCCCATCATCTGGTACTATATAATATTAAAGAAAAAAAAACTAGTCACTTTATACAGTGATTCTGTTCATCTATTTCCTTTTTAAAATGGACAGTACTCTAAGAATATTTTATTTACCAAATCGAATTTATTTTTAAACCAATTTTTTAAAATTTATTTCTTTCAGTTCCAATCACAAGATGATGAGTACATCACTGTAAGTGAGAATCCACATTCTAAAAAGGTCAAGAATAACAAAGAACAAAAATTATCTGGGATTTCTGTTCACAGAATGACTGCCCAAGCTTTAGGCCCTTTTACTCTCTTTATATTTTACAAGAACCACATGACTTACTGCTAGAGAATTTAAACAGCAAACATAAAGAAATTATATTCACTTTTGCTCCAAAAAAAGAATCAAAATGATTTAAAATGTTAAAATATAGACAATTTGTAAGTTCAAGAGATTTTAACATTACATAGATTTATTATAAAAATAACAGACATTGATCACCAACAGGTATATTCAATAGTATCAAAAGCACAAAATTTTCAAATCCTCTTTCAGCATTTTCCAATGCAGACTTTTAAAATAGAAATTAATCAAGTAACCCATGTCTAACATCGCAAGGAGAAATCCATTGAAGGTGAAAATTGCAATTAGAAAAAAAAATTCTTAGAAAGTCAGCATTTCATCCTTTATTCACTTTTAAATATATAATCCAAGTGGCTATCCTAAGCCAAATTTAAGAATTATGCCTACAAATCACTCCTGAAATTTTCTGAAGCAAATCACCAAGACAATTGAAGACAACTACAATGGGAACAGGAGGTTTTTCCCTAAGGCATCTGAGAAAGGCAATATCCAAAGGAAAGGATGACTACCACCTCCTTTACACTTTGATAAAATGCCTAAGAACTTTCAAGAATCAAATCCAGAAGTCTGATGTGAGGTCAAAGTTGTCTTAATGACAGGAAAGCCAACAGATGCCAGATGACTAAAGTTGTCAAAATATTTCTATGCCAACCGTAATTCCAAAAGCACAGAAGGTCCAGGTTGAAAAGCTGAATATATAATTGCTATAACACTGGTGATAATAGTAATAAACAATATTACACACTGTATCAAGAACCTAGTCTGTCCTCCTCAACATTTAATCTAATCATTCGGTAACATTTCTGAATAATGAAAGTAACATGGATTCCCAAAGAGCTATCTACATCTAAAAATAAGGTCTAAGTGTGTGTAGAGTTGATGTTCTTTTTACTGTAAGCCCAATCCGCTTCTTTTATATTTAAAAATAAATACACACACAGATCTGAATAAATACACACACAGATCTGGTTCCAAAGATCTAATAGACTCTGTTCGATGGCGTTAAAATATTATTTTTATTCCTTGCATTACCTCACAGCTAAAAATGTCAAGATACCACACCCAATATGTCTTTTTCTCCCCCTCAATGGAGAGAGGTGGGGTAGGGTCTATGAAACTACCCAAAAACACTAAAGGTGATTTTGCTGGCAAGTCCTAGGTCAGGGATCCGCTCCAGGGCGATCCGAGGGGACCGTCGCGAAGGACGAGCGCAGGCCTGGGCCTTTGCGGGCTCCCCTCCCTCGCCACCCACTGGGACAGCGCCTGGGCCTCGCCACCCGGGGCTACTCACCAGTCACGGCGCTGACCATCAGGACGGCCCATAGTAGCCAGGGCACCGGCCAAGGCCGCTGCAGCGAGGAAGTCATCCCTAGGCCAGCCAAGAAGCACGACGACGAATGAAGAAAAAAAAAATATATATATATATATATAATATGTGAAAAGTAAATACGGGCGGAGAAATCCAGCCAGGAGGCTGCTCTTCCCTTTCGTCTGATTTATCCTGCCCGTATTACAATGCAGTTTGGAAGGACAAATGGCAGATGAGAGGACCTAGCTGCAGAGCTCTCATTCCGCAGCAGACCTTCCCTTCATTGCGTTCCCTCGCGGCTGGAGGGGTTCATTCGCCTAGGATAGGGTGCCTCGGCCCCCCGTTCTGTGAAGTGAAGGCATGTCCGTGGGGGGGGGGGGGGAGAAGCAAGGGAGCTCACACGAAATCCCTGCACTTATTTCCTCGGAGTTTCACGATATCAAAAAAATATCCAGGTCTGGGAGAAAACATATCCAAGGTGCAGGGGGTGGGGGTGAGCGGCGAGGATTCGATTGGGGAGGCGTGGGAAGGAAGGGGGGAGATGGAGGGAGGGACTGGCGAGGATCAGAACAAATTCCCGACTGCCGGGAAGGGTGAAGCCGGGCTGGCGGCGGCGGCGGCGGCGCCCGGCGGTCGGAGGCGCATCGCCCGCGGCACGGGGAGTGCAGGATTCCTTTTAAAGTTCCGTTTCGGGGCGCCCTTCACTCCGATTTCGACGTCCACAAATGCTCTCCTTCGACTGGACGCGGAAAGGTGCCTGGCTCCATGGGCGAGCGCACAGCCTCACGCCTCCGTGGAACAATCGCGCCAGGGTCCGGCCGGCCCGGCCACGGGGCGGCGGGGGACGGGAGGGGTGGGGCGAGGGGGTCGGCGGACAGGCCCCGGGCCCCGGGCCCCCAAGCCGGGAGGTGCGGGGCTGCCGCGCCTCGCTCTCCCGACTTCGCTGCGGCGGCTGCCTCGCGCTCGGTTAGTCCGGCCGCTCGATTCTGCTCGAGATAAATCCCACCGTGAAATCCTCGTCCTCTGTCGTCAGTGGCTCCGGCGAGCGAATCGCAGTCCCCCCACTTTCCCCGCGGGGAAGCCGCCGCCGCCGCCACCGCCGCCGCCGCCGCCTGCTTCTCCCGCAGCTCAGGGCTCCGGGCGGAGCTCGGGCGGCGCAGGCCGAAGGCGGGGGGCGGCGGGAGGGCGGATGTAGGTGGCCCGGGAAAAGGGGGGTGGGGTGGGCAGCCGAGCCTGCCAGACACCCCGCGCCCCTCTGGGAAGCACTCCAGCGACTCTGAGCAGACCAGACACAAAGGGGGGAGTCGCCTCAGCTGCCAGTCTGCGGCGCTCCCGGTCACCGGAGTCGCCCCGCCTCCGCCGCCGCCTCCTCAGTCTCCGGCTCTTCCCGGCCCAGTCTGTCTCGGGCCTGTGGTGCGGCGGCGGCGGCGGCGGCGGCGGCGGCAGCAAGCGTCACGGCGGCGGCGGCGGCGGCGGCAGCAGCAGCGGCGGCGCGAACGAGGCGCACTGCGCCTGCGCGCTCCCTACCCCTCCCGGCCCCGCCCATCGCTCGGGGGCGGAGGGTGGGGGGGAACTGGCTGGCGCAGCCCGCGTGTCTCTCACGAACAGCCGAGGGCAGGGCGGGGCCGGCCAGCCGCGGGGGGCCGCGGAGGCCCTGCGGTGCTGCCTTGCCTACCTTCCGTAGGTGGATGGCTGCGGGGGGCGGGGGCGGGGTGGGGGGTAAGCGACCACATCTTTTGTCTAGCGTTCGAGCGACTCTTCCGAGCTTCCCCCATCCTAGGTGGAGCTGGGCCGGGGCGTCGGGGTCTCCCCGAGGCTCGAAGGAGAGCCTCGAGCGCAGGCCTGCCCCCACTTGTCTCTTGCGGTCGGAGCCGCCTCCACAGCGCCAGGGATCCGGATGGACCTGCCTGTCGCCCAAGTGGAGATCCTGGCCTCGGGCTCGCCCTCGCCGCTGCAGACAAAAGCCGGGATTGGAAAGACCACCCACCCACCGGTGCCCCGCGGTGCGGGCTCGGAGCGGCGTCGGGCCGTCCCCGCCGCGCTCCCGCTCTCCTCTCCCATCCACCCCCGCCCCCGGCCTTCCTAGCCGGCCTGAAACCTTGGCGGCCGAGCAACCCACACTCAAAACTCCGTGTCCTTTAACCGGCCGGACCGGCACGGGGCGGGCAGCGCGGTTTCGCCTCTCCGAGGGAGGTCCTCATTCACAAAGGCTGCGGGCCCGGAGGGGCTGCGGGGGCACTGGGGGCCGCTTAGGGCTTCTGGGGAGGAAAATTACAGTAGAGAGTTGTTGCCTCGGGAATCCAGCCCAAGGAACTAAGAAGATCCCTCTGGTAACTGCATTTTTCTAGAATCTGTTTTGACTCTTTTTTCCCCCCCTATTTGCAAATCTGGTTGAAGCTAGCCAGCCGGATGGGGGGTGCAGTTCCTCCAGCCGTCCCTCCACCTACGCCCCTGCAGGCCAACAGACTTGGTGGGATTTTGCTTGGAGAGAGGCGAGAAGGTGACGTGCAGGGCGCCATGAACGGAAGTCTGTATTTAATTCTTAGCTGAGAGGTGAAAAAATCGTGTGGGAGGGCGATGGAGAGGTGAAGTCCAGCCCTCCCTCCTCCACGCTGCAGAAGGCTTACGCTGAAGGCTGGTTTTGCCGGTCTTTCCTTGTGGCTAAGGGCAGTTCCAAAGATATATTCATGAATACACTTCTAAAGTCATACTCTCTGCTTGCTTATTCAAGTCTCCTTTTATCTCTTTATCTGAACTAGGGGTAATAAATCTCTACATTCCTTAAACTGGTTTCTGTTATCATACTAAATATCTGCTATAATTACGGGTTGTGGCAATACTGCCTAGGATTCTAAGCCTCTTTTCAGCTGAAATATTTTTATACTGTTTATACTTAAGGCAGAGTAATGTTTCTATATAGTAAAATCCCTTTTGAAAAAGAAAGAACCATATGCTTTGGTTCATTTGTTTATTACTGTATTTTGTTTTGCTTCAGAAGCCTAAAAATAGTATCATTTTAATATTTGGCTTTTAAAAGCCAAATGGGATCTAGCACTGAAGAGAGAACGAGATTTCAGTATGATGGAGGGGGGCAGAAAGTTTATTAATTGGTAATATATTGTTTTTCTTCCTCAAATTAAAGTCGAGTACATGATTATTCAGTGTTTAATTTGCATAATTTTTCTAAGAAACATCAAGTAATTATGTAGAAAAAGAAAAGATACTAGAAAATTCATATTAGGGCTGAGAAGGTGGGTCAGTGGTAGAGCACTTGCCTTGCATGCATGAGGCCCTGGGTTCCATTCCTCAGCACCACATAAACAAAAAGAAAAAAGCCAGAAGTGGCGCTCTGGCTCAAGTGGTAGAGCACTAGCCTTGAGCTGAAGAGCTGAGGGACAGTGCCCAGGCCCAGAGTTCAGGCTCCATGACTGGA